CCCGACTGGGGATTTGGACATGTTTGGGGCCTAAGGTTTGCCATGATTGGCAAAATGGTAGTTGATTCCTTGGATCAATGATGAAAATGCCCAAACCCCATTTCTCTTGTTTCTACTCCAATTGTTCACTTGATAAGCTCCCTTTTTCAGAAAAGCACAACTGCGTTTTCCATGTTTTGTTGGTTCTATCAGGTGATGATTTTTTGGGTGACAAAATTCTTTCCACCATAGACTTGAAAACAAACCACAGCACCAAAAAATGGTTTGACCTGTGAGGATATCCCCAAATGTGAATCGGCCTGTTTTTATGAGGGAAATTCTCTTCCCAGGCCATTCGGGCTGGAGTTTCCATCGATCACTGCATTGGTTGCAAGGGAAAACCTAGAGGAAACCATGGTGCTTAACTCCATGTATACGGTGACTTCTTTCATGTCAACCCCGGTGAATAAACCCTGATTGATTAGGAATAATTAGGTGGAATTCCCATAGTAACCCAATTCAACACCCAGGTTTTTGTTTATTATTAAGTATTCCCTCCAAATCTGAGAATCTGGATAACTAGCTATACAGTAGGTAGTTTCCCCAAAGATAGTGATCATTGGCCCAATTCAACAGCCAAGGTTCTATCCCAGGTGATCAGTATCTGGTTGGTGGTTTGTAACCGTTTTTTCCCATATATTATCATATCTTGGGAATTTCATACTCCCAACTGTCGAACTCATATTCAGAGGGGTTCTTCAACCGCCAACCAAAAATGGAGGTACCATTTTTCAGGCCATTTTTTCTTGGGATATTCCCTGAAATTAAGGCCTGAAATTTAGGCCTCTTATATGGTACTTGGTGGCTCATCCCACGAATCGTAAGTGGGTTAGTTCACCCCATTTATAAATGGGATAAGTAGGGTTAATCCACAAAAAAAACTGGGGTGAACTAACCCACTTACGATTCGTGGGATGAGCCAAAAAATGGGTTTGTCTGAAAATAGTGTACCCCATTTACCCAATGGTTAATGATCATTATCCCTACTAAATGGCTATTTCATTGGGGGTATATCCCTACATAACCAAATGGTAGGTAGCACCAGGTATCAATGCTCGAGTCCGGACCTGTCAGGACCCTTCGACACTGGTCCCGGGGTGAAGCTCTGGGGACTCCACTGCTTCGCGGGGACAAAGATGCCACGGTTGGACGGTTTCTATGTAGAACTGGGTTATGATCATGAGTACTACACCCACCTTTAAATCAATACATATATCATATATCTATGCATATCAATATTATATTAATATATTAATATATTAATATATATATATATATTATATTATATCTATGTATATATATATGTATATATATATAATGGTTATACGACATACACATCCAAGTACAACAAATACTTCATCCCAATTCACATCCCCAAACTATGGATGCACCGTGGTGGCAACATTTCGACGAAAGTCACGAGGGTGCTTCTGTACACTGTAAACTGTTATAATGAGCCCCAATGGTTCAAGGTTTAATTAAAAGATGTGGACATGGTTAATGAATGATCATTCGGCTTACGCAATAACAAAGTGAGATTAATCAAGCAGTGGTTCCTTATCGATGTATTTATACATTAAATACATATAAATCTGATTGGTGCTTTGGAACATGAATTTTATTTTTCCAATCAGTTGGGAATGTCATAATCCCAACTGACTTTCGCATATTTTTCAGAGGGGTAGGTATACCACCAACCAGATACTATCATAGTTGGTTTACCCCCTGGTAATGACTCACATAGCGAACTAGAAAATCATCATGCTATTAATAGGTAAACCATCTATTTCTATGGGCCATGGCTTCCAATTCGCAAAGTGTTACCCTCTGGTTATTTAACATAGCCATGGAAAATGGCTCATTTACAGATGATTTTCCCAGCTATAAACCTTCATTGATAATGGCTTTTCCATAGCTATGTTAAATAACCAGATGGTATACATATTAATTATGAGATACCCTCTGGTAATGATTCACATAGCGAACTAGAAAATCACCATGCAATAAAAATAGGTAAACTATCTATTTCTATGGACCATGGCTTACCATTTTCCAGTTCGCTTTTTGTATGTTTACCATTAGAACCATCCCCAAGTTTACCATTTGCAACGGGATGATGTATCCCATTAAATCACTATAAAATCCCATTAAATCACTATAAAATCCCATTAAATCACTATAAAATCCCATTAAACCACTAAAAATCCCATTAAATCACTAAAATCCCATTAATTAACCATCATTCACCAGTTATATCAAGTTATATCCATTAACCATCATCCCACATCCCACCAGCCCGGCATCTCACCCCACCTGCATCGAGGCTGGTTCTTCTGCGTCCGCGTGGAGTCGATTCGTCCTGGGACTTGGCAGGAGCCGGTTGAATTTCGAGAAAAATGCTGGGTTTCAGCCATGAAAACTGAAAAACAAATAGGTTTTAACTTGAAAAAATGTGATATCATGGTGATATCATGGTGATATAATTAATGGTGATATCATGGTGATATCATGAGTTTATCATGGGATATATTTTGTGATTTTTAAATGAGGATTCAACTAGTAAAAATGCTTACATATATATATATATATATACATATGGTGATATAATGGGATATACACATATAATATATACATAACTGATAATATGATATAACTGTTTGTAGATGTTTTTTACAGGCCCAAAAAGACGCGGATTGTTTATCGTTTTCTATCGTTTTGTTCACTGGCTGATGGTTACATCACCGTTTTTTGTTGATTGCAATTGCAACCATTGATGGAACAGATGACATCTACAAACAGTTATATCATATTATCAGTTATATATTCTACAGCAACGTTTCAAGCTGTGTCCATCCATGTACTGTAAGATGTAAGGTTCCCCCCCATTGATGTTCGCTGGTTTATAACCCCCAGAATAGTATAGATCTACTATTAAACCCAAGTTATTCGAGTTATTTGGACTTATAAATTACCCTCTTGTAATTTAACATAGCTATGGAAAATCACCATTTTGAATGGGAAAATCCACTATAAATGGCCATTTTCAATAGCTATGTTAGTTTACCAGAGGGTAACTTAGCTAACTCTTCCTGGGGCACCACAGAAATGTGTAGGTCATCTGGGCCGCCCAGATGACGCCCATGGCGCTGTTCGATGGACGGTCGCCATCCCAAAAACCAGTGGGCAAAGGCCTATGGCCCTATTGGTAACTATGAACCATCATGGTTACCCTCTGGTAAACATACAAAAAACTATGGAAAATCACCATTTTTAATGGGAAAATCCACTATTAACAGAGGGTATAACATGTTATAAATTAAGGGATTGCATTGCAAGCATCTACCAACTGGTTTTTTGGATGAATTTTCCCAGTATGACCCAAGAGTTTGTTTTGTTTCTCGTGATTCATCGGCTTTTTCTGTCTGATGAAAAACGGTTTTGTTTTTCTCAGACGGTGCAGCAGCAAGAACGTTTCGACAGTGATCCGCAATCTGCCAAGTGTCAAAAACTTAGAAATATTCTGATGAAACATAGCATTGGATCCAGAATCAAATGTAGAGTATTCTTAAATGTCTTCAATATATGGGTATGGGTCAATACCTATAGATACATTTTTAGTGGGATGAACATCCATAAATCCCAGCTATTTTGGGGTTCACTAGGTACCAGGGTTTTGACCCATCCCCATATAGTTAAGTTCTACATATTGGATATTTATGCAATATACGTTTGGCCAGAACAGAATCCAGGCATCAGCTTCTTGAGCTCCAACTTCTTGGTGGACACCAAAAAGGTTAACCATGCATTTCTGGTGACTGGTGACTGGAACCATGGATTTTTTCAAACATTGTGGAGTTCTTACCATAGAAAAAATATAGAAGATATAGGGGGAAACAACGGGATATATGACTCTATCTAACCATCAATATTATCTGGTTGGTGGTTTGGAACCATGGAATTTTATGACTTTCTATATATTGGGAATTTCATAATCCCAACTGACTGTTGCCATGATTTTTCAGAGGGGTTGTTCGACCACCAACCAGAAATGGAGGTACTGTACCATTTTTCAGGCCATATTTTCTGGGCATATTCCCTGAAAGGCCTCTTATATGGTAGGTACCTCCAATCAATCGGTTCCTGATATGGCCAGTGATTTTTGCTGCTGATGTTTCCAATTTTGGTACCCAACTAAAATCAACAACTAATACCATTGGTGTCCATTGGCTGAATTTTGGTGATTCAAAAGCCCAGGTATTGGTGAGATGGCCAGTGATTTTAGTTGTTTAGTTGGTATTAGGCCGTCTCACCCCAGGTTGGCCATCCTTCAAGACCCTGGTGCATATATAAGGTGGACATCGAAATAGCATAGCGTGCTGAGCAGCCTGTGGATGTTAATCCCCATCCTGGCATCATACTGTTATATTGTACCATGCACATCCATAAACTATAGTTAACATACATATAAAATCATATGTGATATGAAGTATAAACCAACATACACATATCTAACCAACTTGGCTAACATATCTACCATACTATATCATATTTATCAACCAACTTGGCTAAATATGCGACCCCACCTTGTATACAACCACCATGGGTCGATGGGTTGATGTTGCAGCGTGTCAGGATGGCATGGCTCTAGGTGTTACGACCTGTCAGCCGGGACTTGTTGAGGACGGAGGGAGAAAAGCAGGCGTAGGGATCAAGAAAAACTGGAGGTTAAAAAAACATCAAAAAACTATGGAAATCACGATTTTTTTTTAAATTCACTATAAATGGTGATTTTCCAGTTCGTTTTTTGTATGTTTACCAGGTCGGGTAATCAACAAATGTGGTGTTTGTAGAAGAAAATCACTGGGTTTGGGATTCAGATTTTTTTGGATTTTGGGGAATTGATCGAGAAAAACAGTGGGTTTTGAATCAACCGAGTGTATAAAAGTAGAATCTGGACAAAAAAATCAGACAAAAATAGCTAGACAAATCCATTTAGCCAACGAAGATCCCTATGAAAAATCCCAACGATCTGGTGAGAATCAGATGTGTGTGACACCTGGAAAGTTCCTGTTGGTCACAAGCAATCAGATGTGTGTGAAATCTTCTTCCGTATGAGTACAGGAAGCTCATGAAAGACATAGAGGTGATTGAAATCATTGATTCCACTAGTTCATCCTGTTTTTTTCCCCACAAGTTTATTTTTAGTTTTGTTTTTTTGTTGGGTTATTAATCATGTTGCTCATCACCCTTCGGTAATCAGCTCCGTGGCTGGCAAATCCCCCAGAAGATAGGCATAGATAGGAGCAGTTTCAGAAGCTAAAAGTAGCGGTTGTCCATGGCTTTCCTTTGGAAAAAGGATTGGTGTCCTCCAAATAGTAAACAGATTTAAATACCCCCAAACCCCAAAAACGAACCCCTGGTATAGTAATTATTATACTCATTGTTTTCGGGCCATATGGTCGCATTTAAGGTTTGGCGGAGCGACGAATCAGTATCATTGATGATCATAATTATGTTCTATCCATTGTAATTATATAATGTATTATCCATCATTTCCATCATCAATTCTGTGGATGGTTGCACAATCCAAATTCCCAGTTGGTACCTGGTAGATGGTAAGCAAAGAACACATCATAACTATACGATGGGATTATCCATGATTATCCAACTGGTGGATAGTTGGTGATCCTATATACACATAAAAATCACATAAGTAATGATAGACACAGTTGGTAGATGGTATCATAATCCCATTATTTACAGTGTTTATAGTTACCCATAGGGCTATCCAACTGTGCAGAATACGCAACCGTCTACAGTATGTTGCCATGTTTTATTGGCACGTCCAGAGTGCACCTCCAGAGTGAAATGGTGAGTTGCCAGCGTTTGATTTTCGGTCAAGGGTGATCTTATAGATGGCTCCAATAAAACATAGAAATTGTTAAAATAGTGATCGATGGCATTATTCTATCTTGTTTGAAAGTTACAATGTGGGGCCCCCCAGATAGCCAAGTTGGTGTTTAACTCCAATCACCATGGCACTATGGTTTGTGCTACTCTTATCTATATAGTTAATCGGGGTTATAAAGCAGCTTCTGACTGATGGTCCCCACATAGTAGAACCAACAAGTGCTGTTTCTGTGGCTCTTCATGACCTAAGAAGTCAAGGCACCTCCCACCTCCCGTCCCTCCTAGGAGATGCCACAAACCATGGACGTGTGGGACCCCAGGAACTTTGGGATGACCCATTTGTTCCATCTCAGCAGCGACAGAAACCCCTATTGATAGGTTATATGGGGTTATACTACCTGGTATGTGGGGGATAATCATGATCTGGTTGGTGGTTTGGAACATTTTTTATTTTCCCATATATTGGGAATAATCATCCCAACTGACTTTCATATTTTTCGGAGGTATACCACCAACCAGTCATCCATGAGCTGGGAATCTGGTGTTCAACCAGTATAAAGGGACGAGAGAGGGTTTTGAACACTGCTCATATCATGTGTACGTTTGTTCGGCAGGCGACATGATGTATATTTTTTTATTTGAGCAGGTTAATTATCATGATGTCTCAACATCCCAACATCTCAACATCCAAACACCCAATCTTTCTGTTGGCTTTTAAGACGTTTAGTTGTTATACCAGGGTTCTGACTCAAGGACTCTAGGCTCGTGTTGAGCAAGATCATGCGTAGATTTCAAGGTGGCGCCCCACTTCGGAATCGCTAAGTTGGTGAACATAACTCCAATTTCACTAGGGTTTATAGATATATCCTATACTTGATGGGGTGAAACAAAACCAAAGAACATCACTGGGGGGCACCACCTTGTACTTTAATGGTTTTGTTTCTTTCAATGGGAACTTGTGAAACCCTTTTCAAACCATATCTAAAAAATCATACATGCTTTTCAGAGTCTCTAAGACTCTAAGATCATCCTTACACCAAGCAGTTTTGTTTCGGATTTCACTTGGCCCCTCGCATTTCATGCTGGTTTTGAGGCAGTTCCAGTTGACACTTCTGGTGGTTCCTGTTGGTTCCAACATGTTCCAAGTATCCAAGTTCTTACAGGTGCAAGATTCATAATAGTATGGGCTTAAAAAGTGGCAGTGTGTCAAAACCTTGTACCCCTGTAGTTCACATCAAAATAGCTGGGATTTATGGATGTTCATTCCACTAAAAATGGTATGTATAGGTATTGATCCATCCCCATATAAATAAAATGATGGCCGTTGCGGCCTATTATAAGATCCAAATCAAGTTGAGGAGGAAAATGGTGGACAAAAACGATAGATTTTATGTTCCCTCTTCCCAATGGTTCATTGGTACTAGGGGGATTAGCTTCCTGTGAACAACTAGTGAAACTCTAGTGAGTGAATGATGGTAGACCGTACCAAACAACCCCATCATTAGACCTAACTAGTGAAACTCTAGTGAGTGAATGATGGTAGACCGTACCAAACAACCCCATCATTAGACCTTAGATCCATGGCTTAATGCCAACTCATACGTTGCCATTTTGATGGAAATATTGGAATAAATATGTTTTGACTATCCGGCTCTTTTCAAAATGCAGAGTATCTGAGATTATCCTGGCAGAATTGATTTAATGAACATGTGTTTATAGTACACCCGGATCCTTGGAGTAAACACCCATCGTTTCCTGTAGCGTTTGTTCCATGAAAAACCCAGCAAGTCAGGGAAAAAAGATCTGATCAGCGCTTCTAAGGAAGTGGATCCATGTTGGCTGATGGGATTTGATGGTCTGAGACCCTAGAGGATGGGAGAAATTCGGGAGATCAATTCGTGTCATCAAACGTGGCTGTAGCCGATGCCCGTGGCCGCCACGCCATGGAGGTTGAGTTTGCTGGGAAAGCCATCGAAATAAATGGAGGATTTTCCAGCAAGCCACGTTTGATTAGCAGAGGATACCATGCAATCATATAACAGGGATTTATGGTGGTTTAATGGGATTTAATGGGATTTAATGGGATGTACCCTCTGGTTATATATATATATGATATATCTGGGTAAATTATAATTTAAGAGTTTGCTATGAAAAATTACCATGTTTGACAGGTAAAGCATGGAACTAAATGGGTGGATTCTCCATAGCTATGTAACAGATTACCACAGGGTTAATCTATTTATATGTCTATTATTATACCCTCATATATTGATGCTGAATTGCCATGTGTTTTATCAGGCAAATTACCACATCTGTGGTCTGTGCACCTGAAGTTTTGACCTTTATCTATAGATGATCTGGTTGGTGGTTTCAAACATTTGTTTTTTTTCCATAATATATGGGATAATCCTTCCCATTGACGAACTCATATGTTTCAAGATGGTTATTGCACCACCAACCAGTATATATTGATTGATTGTATATATATATATGTTATAGGTTAATGATTAATCTACATCTACACCAGTCATAAATGGCATTTTAGCCAGCTGGTTTATCAACTCATCGAGGGTGTGGATTTTTGCCAAGAAAGGGCCGTCTACAACATGCCTCAACTTTAAAAATCCATCGAGTTGACTTTAGTTAGTTAGTTAGTTAGTTAGTTATATATATATATATATATGTATAATTTACCCATATATATATATCTCTCTCCCCTAATATCTGGGTAAATTATAACGACCGAACCCTGTTCTCCCTCACTGGAATCATGGTCAATAAGGGGAATCATCCCCAAATGGCCTTAATTCAGGTTAGTGAAATATTATAATTTACCCAGATTAGCCATGCAATCATAAGACATGGTTAAATGATGGTTAGATGGTGAGAGGTGAAAAGCCATTAATACTGGTTAATAATGGTTAATAGCTGTCAATCATGGCTAAATGGGGTTTTCCTAAAAGGCGGGATCCCATGGATCGTCACCATGTCAATACTCAGTTATGGTCATCCATGACGACTGGATCATGTTTTTGGGGCTCCACTTAGGAAACCTCCAAAGAGTTCCATCCTCGACCAAAAATTGATCTTGACTTGCAACCATACTAACCAATCAGAACCAATCTGATTGGTGGTTTCAAACATGTTTTATTTTCCATTTCATATATGGGATGTCATCCTTCCTATTGACGAACTCATATGTTTCAAGATGGTTATTGCACCACCAACCAGGTTATTATTAACCATATAATAACCATATAATAACATATAATAACATATAATAACCATATAATAACCATATAATAACCATATAATAACCATATAATAACCATATAATAACCATATAATAACCATATAATAACATATAATTGCCATATATTAACCACATATATATATATACACACATATAGACATCCAACCATCTGAAGCTAACAATCGAAACGCGGCTCTTTCGCCCGAGGTGTTGAGTGGGATGGAGCTGGACTGACCTGGGGACCATCGACTTGGAGCCCAGCAAAGCTGAAGGCAGTGAGAGCTTGGGGACGGTGGAGCAGGGCGTAGAATTGGGCGTAGCAACAGATTCTGACCTCACTTGAAACAAGTGGAAACATGGAAAATCATCATTCTCAATGGACAATCCCATATTTTCCCATGATTCTGGTGATTTTCCAAGGTTTTCCCCATATGTTCCTATGATTTTCTGATTGGTGGTTTGGAACATGACTGGATTATTTTCCATATATTGGGAATGTCATCAGCCCAACTGATGAGCATAGTTTTTAGAGGGGTAGGCGAAAAACCACCAACCAGAATGGATTTCACCAGGACAATTTAGTGATTTACCCGGTCTGGTAAACATTTACACAAAACAAACTGGAAAATCACCATGCTATCAATGGGTAAATCCGCATGCTATCAATGGGTAAATCCGCTATAAATGGCCATTTTCAATAGCAAACTGTTAAATTACCAGAGGGTATTTGGTGATTTATGACTGACCATAGTTGGAATATACTGCTGATTTAATGTGATTTCTATAGCCATCAAAACCGGTTTTGAATTATATTCATGAATGATGATACCAGGTAGGTTAAATAAGACCCCCTGGTGACTAATAACTGATAGATGACCGTTGATTAGTTGTGAACTGGTGGGTTATCCATCGGCTTGGTTGAATTGGTGATAAGTGATGATTGTAGCCATTTGTAACCCATAATACGGAGACCTATTCATCAACCAGTAAAATGAAATGGAAAAACGGTGTATTCTATATGGCTCAATTTTTAGGGTGCCAGAATTGTTTCAAGAGAACATGTGTACCCACTGATTTTCCTTTGTCACAACTGAAACCAGTACTGCTGCAGTTGGGTTATATATATGCGGATACAAGCATGATTGTCCCAACTTTTGAAGGCAGCACCCTCAAGTATTACCCTCTGGTTATGACTAACAGTTCGCCATGGGAAATGGCCCTAATCGAAATAGATGGTTTACCGTTCTTAATAGCGACCCAGTGACATGTTGGGTCCATAGCTTCCAGAAACTTCCTCTGACCTGGTCAGCCTGGTAAGCTGCTTTAAAATGTCGAGGGTCATGGCTTAAAATTGATGATCTCAGCGGGGAAAAAAAGATGATCTCCACCTGAAAACTGGTTTTATTCATGAACAGAGTATCTACATATATCATTTATATTCATATATCATAATTATATATCATCAAATATCTAAGGTCAGCCAGCCATGGCTGCTGATGGCTATGTGTGGTCATCAGCTGTCTGTGGCTCCGAGCTGGTTGACTTGATCGATCTCCATGTGCTCTGCCTCAATGGTGAGGGATGTAGCCTGAGCCTCAGTCCTTCCACGATGATCTCCGAGCAACTTCCGAGAAAGACAGGGGCAAAAGCTGGTTCTCTACCACCTTTCTTCACCGTTGATGCTCCACCAAACATTGCAAAAGCAAGGCATTGCAGGGAAGACTGCGAATCTGTCCTGCACTTATGTTCCAACAGACTTATATGCTGCTTGCAGATACCTTCAAGGCTTCCAAATTTCGGAGGAGAAGTTTGTGTTGGATGGCTTGACACAGATAGGGGGTTGCACATCTGTGCCCTGTCTGAGGAGCCTTCCCGAAAGTGCAAAGCTTGACTTTGGGTTGGAAGTACAACCAAAGCCTTGAACACTTGATGTCGCCAAGCAGATCGAGTGACTTTGCCGGGCAACTTGCAAAGTTTGACTCTTTCGGATATATGTTCAACCAAAGCCTTGATCGAGTCACCTTGCCGAGCAACCTGCAAGAGTTGACTTTCGGACATGACTTCAACGAAAGTCTTGATCGAGTGACCCTGCCAAGCAACTTGCAAAGCTTGACTCTAAGTTTCAACGTCCACCAAAGCCTGCATCGAGTAACCTTGCCGAACAAATTGCTAAGGTTGACTGTGTATAATTTGCTCAACCAGAGAATTGAAAAAATGACCTTGCCTAGCAGTCTACAAAGCTTGACTTTCGGTGCTCATTTTGACCAAAGCCTTGATCGAGTCACCTTGCCGAGCAACCTGAAAGAGTTGACTTTCGGACGTCACTTCAACAGAAGCCTTGATCGAGTGACCTTGCCGAGCCACTTGCAAAGCTTGACTTTCGGAGATTTTTTCGACCAAAGCCTTGATGGAGTGACCTTACCAAGCAACTTGCACAGCTTGGCTTTTGGTGATAAGTTCAACCAAAATCTCGAACAAATGACATTGCCAAACAGTTTGCGAAGTCTCGCTGTTGGTGTGGATTTCAACCAAAGTCTCGAACAAGTGATCTTGCCTAGCAGTCTACAAAGCTTGACTTTTGGGCTGCATTTTAATCAAAGCCTTGATCGAGTGACCTTGCCAAGCAACTTACAGAGTTTGGCCTTTGGTGCCTTGTTCAACCGAAGCCTTGATCGAGTGACCCTGCCAACCAATTTACAAATATTGACTTTTGGTGATGAGTTCAACCAAAGTCTGGAACAAATGACACTGCCAAACAGTTTGCGATGTCTCACTTTTGGTAGGCATCGCAACCAAAGTCTCGAACAAGTGATCTTGCCTAGCGGTCTACAAAGCTTGGCTTTCGGTGCTCATTTTGACCAAAGCCTTGATCGAGTGACCTTGCCGAGCAACTTAAAGAGCTTGACTTTGGGTAGGGAGTTTAACCAAAGCCTCTACCGAGTGGCAATTCCAAACAGTTTGCACACCTTGACGCTTGGTCGTCACTTCGCTCAATGTCTTGAAGGAGTTACCTTGCCAGTAGGTCTTCGTAATCTTGTTTGCGGTTCTATATCTGTGAGTGTATCCTGATTTTCGGTGTTTGCCAGCGAGTATTGATGTCCACACCCGTGGCAGATCCGCAAGTGATCATCCAATTCATCGCATTTTCGTGATAGCTATGAATGCCCGCGTCCGTGAAAAAGATTATATCGGCAGTTGTGCCCAAAGGGTGATTTTAAATAATAACGATTCATCAAAGTAGGGGTTCGTTTGCGGAGCCTCAATTGTTTAGTGTGTACTGTGTACCCTTTTATCCCATGAAATAAAGGACTGAGCGTTTCAGAAACGTCACTCCGCTCCGTGTTTTCACTGCTGCAGAAAATCGCTTTGGGAGGAAGATGCAAGATGTTAACCACAAGGACCAGCAACTCAGCAACGTCTCACGGTAGATGAATGATGTTCCCATGGGGGGGTCGGTCTATATGTCAATGGGAATTTCAGGATCCTAAAATGGAGGTACGTTAGTACCATATTTCTGGCCATATGAATTGTGGTGATATTCACTGAAATTAAGGCCTGAAAAATAGGCCTTATATATGGTACAGTGTGGGTCCCCCGTTCGATAGCTAAGTTGGTGAACATAAGTCCAATTTCACGATGGTTTACGGTATGCAAATAACGAACTAGTTACTGGGGCTTTTGTTAACCAACGTTCACATCACGTTTGGGGGGCCTTATATATATGCTAGGCAGGTACCTCCATTTTAGGATTCCCGGATTCCCATGGGATGACCACCATGACGAAGCCAAGTCCGCTAGTTAAAGTGGTGAAACACCCCCATGCTTGGTTACCCTCTGGTAAACGTTTACATAACTAACTGGAAAATCACCAAATCACCATGCTATTAATGGCTAAATCAACTATTTCTATGATTTCTATGGCCATGTTCCAGTTCGCTTTTTGGATGTTTACCAGGCCGGGTAAATCCCGAAAGCCATCAGACATTGTGAAAAATCACCTGTTTTTCAAAGAAACAGTGGGATATATCATCATATATCCATATATATCCCATAAAAAATCCCATTGGGTGAGTAATACCATATAACTGGTGAAAAGGATGTTGAATACCTTAATAAGTTATATATAGTTCTTATAAAATCCTAAATTCCCAGAATTGAAGGAACAAATGACAAGAATGACATTTGTTTCCTGATAACAAACAAAACAAACTATGATTTCCCGTTTCACTTTCCTTAACAAAATCAACCCAACATTTTCAGGTAGCGAACCCATTTTTCATGCTTCAAGTCACACAGATCTCTTGGAAAAACCACCACTTTTTCATGGTGAACCCCTGGTGGTTTTTCTGGAACAACTCCTTCCGCTTGGCACTGCGGCAGGTTGGTGACCTAGTGGGTGTGGTGGTCACTTTTCAGGGCGAGCTGCAGGCGCGTCGACTTCCGGAACCTGCGGCGGAACCTTTCCAGGATGCACGGTCGAGCGGAATGTGAATTCAATGTAGCTTAGCTACAGTAGCTATAATTTTGGCTATTTTTCTGTACTATTTTAGCTACTTAATGAGATATGAATGTGATTTTTGTGGAATTATTTTTAGATTCTATGAACTATAGTTGTGGTTGCATACTTTGGGGTAAACATACAAGGTGTGGAAAAGCCATGTATGTGAATTTAAAGGAGGTTTAACCATTAAAAAATATGTATTGAACCGCAAAGACGTGGCATTGACACATCAAAAACTTGGATTTTTATCCGGGGAAAAATGGTGAAGGTTGCAATGAGCCAAAAAGAAACATCTTGCAACATGAATGTTGTATGAACTTATATAATGTTACAATATGTTACAATGTGTTCCAAAATATGTTCCAAAATATGTTCCAAAATATGTTACAAAATATGTTACAAAATATGTTACAAAATATGTTACAAAATATGTTACAAAATATGTTACAATATCTTACAATATGTTACAATCTGTTGATAAACATGTTGATAAATTGTACCTAAGATAATGGTTTGTTCATGGCAAATCATCCTGAAAATGCCGCAGCTCTCTCTACTTTAGGAAAATTAGAGTACAAAATGATGCCCACCAAATAGCTCAGGTGACGCACATAATTTGGTTAACTAGGGTTTATGTTTACAGCTAGTTGTATAATGGGGGTTATAAACCACTTATGACTGGGGAATCTTTTGGAAATAATGCCATAGACCCAATTCGAAGATTAATCGATCCGATATTAATCCCATGTTTAAATAGGACAGTATTTGATAACAGCTTAGTGTTGGTGATTTTGGGGAGTGCTTCTTATGATTTCGCAGCCCCTTCTCAGGAAATCCAAGTGAAAAAAAATCTGGGCGGGCGACGTCACTATTCATGATGAGTTGTTTTTTTAGGGGAACCAACCCGATATCAGCTTAGTTAAGATTGGTGAATTACCCTCCCGTGTCATCAATGGTGGATTTTGCTGGAAAATCCACCATGATTTTCGATGATTTTCGCACTCAAACCTTCAAAGCTCATTTAGATGAAATTCCTCAAACCTTCAAACCTTTATACACATATAATCACATATATATGTATAGTATATATAGATGAATGAAATTCCCATTTATAAACCTCCATTTAGTTCGGGGATTTCCCAGCTATGTTTGGTGACGCCGGATGGATGGATGATGAATTGCCATTTTTTTGCCATCCGTGCTGGATCGTTGGTGCCAGAAAATGGGTCAAGCTTTAGACAATAAGTCAATGGCCATTTCAGGATCCTAGATTGGAGGTACCTACCATATATAAGGCCTATTTTTCAGGCCTATGTAAGTGAATATCCCCACAAAATATGGACTTATATGGTACAGTACCTCCATTTTAGGATCCTGGAATTCCCATTGAATAAAGGGACGTCTTGATGTGCCTGTGACAATCTCTAGTTGGTGGGAACTGGAAGCTGAATTTATATATCCATGGTAATCTGGTTGGTGGTGACTGGAACAATGGATTTTTGACTGACTTTCCATTTATATTGGGAATGTCATGATCCCATTTGACTTCCATATTTTTCAGATGGGTAGGCGAAAAACCACCAAACAGCTAAGGTTTCTCCAACAATGCGCTGAACATCTCCATCTTGGCTAGTTATCTCGTCATGCGATGCCAACATATCCTATCTTTGTTGACTTTGGACTGATGATCAAACTACAAGGTGGTGCCCCCCAGTGATGTTTGTTGGTTAACAAAAGCCCCATGAATACTATAGTTATATCTGCCATAAACCATAGTGAAATGGGAGTTATAAACCAACTTAGCTAACGAACTGGGGCACCACTTTGTACACTCCATCTTGGCGATTGTCCCCATATGTTGCAAGTGAACCCTCCATATTGCCCTTAGGATCTAATCAGAATTCTGTGGGTAAAATCCTCATTTCAGTTTGCAACATTCGCAGTAGACAGCCCATTCTGATTGGCGAAATACGCGGTACTAAGCCAAAGCCTCATATTGATTCTGGTTGGTGGTTTCAAACATTTTTTATTTTCCATAATTCCATAATATATGGGATAATCCTTCCCATTGACTTTCATATGTTTCAAGATGCTTGAAACCACCAACCAGGATTGGTGGCATGGTAATTACCCCTGAATCCACTCATGAAAAACGGCTCATTTTCCCCATTTGGCTATGGCCGTGGTGATTGGACACAACCGCCATTTCGGGACAGTTTTCCATATAGTTTCTTGATGGATGATATATATTACTTCCCATTCATATCCCCATAAGATATATTTTTTATATCACAATCCTTAACAACAGGTTTCTATGATGATAGATGGTATACCAAACCGGCTCCTCTATTTTTACCAAAAGGACATGATTGGGTTTACCCAGAATTTTTCTGTTTGCTAAATTGGGGATCCAGCATGTCTGGACAAAGCCATTGCATCAACTGTGACATCAACTGTGACATGTTCTTCCCAACTATACTGGGTATCTGGATAGATTACCATGTGGTTATTTAACATAGCCATGGAAAATCATCATTTTGAATAGGTAAACCATCTATTTCTATGGGCTATTTTCCATGGCTATGTTAGTCATAACCAGAGGGTAATTGTCCCTTGTTTTTTATGTCTGAAAATTCCCCCCAAAGCATTTGTATCCTATGGGAAAATTTTGGGGACATTCGGATGTGGATACCTCCAAGTAAAGATTTAAATCGGATCAGTTCCGGGTCGTACATGTTACATCCCCAACACACTATCACCAGTTGCGGTTGGTTTTTAGCTTCTCCAGTTTTGTTTGGGACAAAGCCGATATGGGTGTGAGTCGAAGTTGAAGACTTAATCTATTCTTCGTGTATACAACTAGATAACTAAGTTGACGCACATGACTTGCTTAGTTAGCGTTTTATGGGTGTATATTGATTAATTAGCGTTTAATTGGGGTATAACTATAGTATTATAGTTATTATTAGTTAGTTATAGTTAACTAATTGATGGGTTTTATAGACTAACAACATCCAGTTGATCATATAGTGTATATTATATATTATAGTTAGTTTTATAATCTAACGACATCCAGTTCATCACCTGCAGCCCTTTTCAGCGTCAACGCATGCGATGTATTGGGCGAGCCGCCTGTGTGGCGGCGTCCCGATGCGGGGGCTTCTTCTGGTTTCAGCACAGAATGTCGAGCCAGGCACGGTGGGAACCCTTGAGGCTCTCATTTAACGATAAAAATGGGGGGTACAACCAAAAGGGTTTTTCCTATGGTGAAATCTATGGTTAGTAGTGATTAATAGTGATTAATATTGGTTACTAACCATAGATGGTTACTAACCATAGATGGTTACTAACCATTATTGGTTTTTCCTATCCCATGACGGATCCATGGTGCTGCTATATATGGTGCTCCATGGATCCCATCAATATACCCCAGATGCTAGCATATATACCAGCACCATGGATCCGTCATGGGCAATGGAAAGTCCTATGGAAATGGATGATGAAAAATGGGTACCACCATGGATTGGAAACCACCATATCGTTGTAGAATGTGTTATAGAATGTGTTTTGATTTACTGTCTGATATTGTTGATGTTTTGGCATCAACCACCACAATCTACACTATAACCTGTAGAATTGGGTATCTACAGTCTTTACTCCACATGTTTTTATATGAATTGACCCATACAAATATGGTATTTACATGTAAATCCATTTACTTGGAAGTAATGTAGCATCATGTAGCATCCGTTTCATCCGTTTACCAGCTGTTTTATTCTATAGGAAACCGTTGGATCCCGTGGCAACAACCATACAATAGTTCACCAGGACTACATATACCCAACCTGGTTATGACTAACAGTTCGCCATAGAAAATGGCCCATAGAAATAGATGGTTTACCTGGGTTTACCTATTAAAAATGGTGATTTTCCATGGCTATGTTAAATAACCAGATGGTATGCGTTGTTAAAACAGCTGTTTTTTTGGGTGAACGAGCATCATCTGTGCGGTACATTTTCGGGTATCTGCAGTAGCCCGGTAGTTTTCAGTGGGTAGTTTCGATGTCAAAGTTGGTGGTTTGTGATGTGAAATATGATGAAATGGATGATCACGGCCTTTAGAAAGTGATGTTCAACCAAATGGTTCCTAATCCGTTTCTGTCCATATATGGGGGCTGCTTAGATGTGCATCTCACTGAGTAATTGCCAAACAAAATGATTGGGTCCCAATTTTAAATTGGTTAGCTCTTTGTGGTCACTGACTTGCTTCGTTAAAACTCGAAATGGGAGACTAGGAGACAATACTTGTTTTCCCTTGGTATCCGAGATGAATCCAACCCCGAAGAACAAACAACGCCCCTTGCATCCCCTTGCTGCTGGAACCCCAACTGGTTTTGTCCAAAGCGAGATTTTTTGAGTTGCCCTCAATAGGGACGTTCGCTGGATTGTAGAGCAAATCGACCAGTGAAAACAGCTGTAATCATGTAATCATCATCACAGCAAAACAAATTAAACAAAATCCCAATGCAGAAACCAATGACACGGCGCACCACCAAACGAAGTACTCTCAGAGTGCAAAGTGACCTTGCCAAGCCGCTTCAGACTGCGTTTTGCAGAGCTTCGAGGAGTGATCTGTTTTGGAACAACTATTCATTTTGGAAACAGTGTTCAAAGAAACAGTGTCTTGAACCTCTTTTTTTGAAGGCATTTCATCAGAGCGTTTTGTGGCATCAGCAAGCCATTTTCAAAGCTTGACTCTCAACGACAAGTTTCAGGGACTGCTGTCCCATTCTCTGGGCGGATACGGCCAAGTTTGCACCCCAAAACGGGACATTTGGTTCTAGGATTTTGTGCCAGGATTTTTTTCAGGGACTTCTGTCCCACTATCTGGACGTATACTGACAAAGATGTTGCCATAGAAATATGAAGCAACAAGGGTTTAACCATGAAAAATGGAGGTTTAACCTTTAAAATGGAGAGGGTTAATTAAGCTATTTAAGCAAAACAAAACATGGGACTGCCCTGTTTTCAGACAATCCCCAAATCCACCACTACACACGTTTGTTTGAGGTGTTGCGCGTTATTACCCGGAAAGGATCAAACAATCCCTCTAGAGATCCACCGAAATAGTCATCAACAGTCCAGGGTTTCCGTGACTGGCAATGGTGTATACCCCAAATCCACAGGTTATCATCATTTGTCCTACAGGATGGGGCTCCCCGGGCTCCCCAGTTATAAGTTGGTTTATAAACCAATGCAACCCCCAGTAACTATAGTTATATCTACCATAAACCATGGAATTCAGCCACAAAAATAAGGCAACTGAACACTATCGAACGGGGCCCCATCCTGTATGATATTGCCATGTACGGGTTTCCCCCATTTTTGATCCCACCCATGAAAATGATTGATGATTCGTATCCCCCTATAGTAAGCATTCTATAGCTATAGGTTGATTGTACTTCCCACTGGTTCTTGGCTTTTGCACCACCCTTGGTGCTACTTAAGACTTAAACCTTCAATGATCAAGAAAGGTCATCCTTGTTTATTACTGGAATCGGCTACTTAATACCACTATCTGGGTAAACTATAGCGACCTCACTGTTCTCCCGAACCCTGGAATCATAGTTTTTATAGGGAAATCATCCCCAGCCATGGCCGAACAATTCAGGTGAGTGAAATATGATGGCCTTTACCCAGATATATCTTCAATAACCAGATAATAACCATAGTAAAACCATGGTAAAACCATGGTAAAACCAGCGAAATTCCAAGTATCCCATGATATTCCTATAGCTTTGTGCATTAAATCCCATGTTGCAAAGGACCCCGACGGAATGCCACCAGCTGTGGCGTCCCTGAATCCATTACTGGGACTGTTATTCCATATACTTGGGGTGGTGCACCATACTTAGTTAAGTTGAGTTATAAGTCCAATGTCACTAAATGGCTCATTTATAGATGGTTTAATGGTTTACCTATTAGAAATGATGATTTTCCATGGCTATGCTAAAAAACCAGATGGTAGGGTTTATAGTGCAGTAGATAGATATATATATATATGTATTATATCAATACTTAATGGGAGTTATAGACCCATTTATAGCTGGGGGGCACCACTTTGTAGTAACTTTGGATTTACTAACCTGAGACTGTTCTAAGTTATAACCCCTTAGTGTGGTGAATCCATTTTCATAAACCATCCCCAAGTAATCATCATGTTTATGTTTGCTATATCTAAACCATCCCCAGTCGCGGTAGGTTTATGGCAGCCAGTATTTTCCACATTAGTTACCATATGGCCAGTTATTTTTGTACCATATTACCATATTAATTACCATATTACCATAGTTATCTTGTTTGGTTTGTTGGTGATATACCATATAGATCCATATAGTCAGTTATATCCCTTGTTGAATATCCGCATGATATTACCATGAAATCCCATGAACAATCCACACATGATATTCAGAACTTCTTATCCCATGAAATCCCCATGAAATCCCCATGTTTGCTGGTAAAATCATCGTTTTTCTTAGTGAAATATTGTGAAATCCATATTTGATCATAAAAATATCGTGAAATATCCCATATGTTTTGCTGGTAAAATCATATTGTGAAATATTGTGAAAGCCATATTTCCAAGGATGATAAGGATGATTAACTCCTCAATGGATCGGTTTTCTTGGGAAAATCGACATGAAACAAACCAGAGATTTTCCCATGAAGATCATGGGGCTTTCCGAAGTAAAATGTCCCTTAAAGCAATCCATCAGCTCCAGCAGGTGGATTGGGCTGTGTCATTGGTGAATCATCCAGGGTTACCCTCTGGTAAACAGAAAATTATGGAAAATCACAAATTGTTCGATGGGTAAATCAACTATTTAATGGAAAACTATAGAAAATTATACTATAAATAGTTGATTTCCATTAAAACATATGGATAAACTATACTATAGTCATTGGATTAACTGGTCCCTGAATCCATTATAAATGGGTAAAACTATGGATTTCCTGTGCGCATTGCCGCAGGGTGATAGCTTCTGGCGCCTGGGGCAGCTAGGAGGCGCTGCCAGCCAACGCTTGAGCCAACTGGGACAGCAGGTGGGTTTTTTTTGCGCGCATTTTTCGATGGTCTGCTGGATTTCATCACATTTTTCTATGGGATTTCTATTTCTATGGGATTTCTATGGGTTTCTATCTATTTTATAGGCTTTGACCATGAAAAATGGATCGTTTTAACAAAGTTCAGCAGCAGAAATTGGATGGAAAAGGTGAACTTTTGTAGCAAGTCCTTGAGTGATGTTGTGGTTACCCATTTCAATGGGATATTATAGTGATTTAATGGGATTTTATAGTGATTCAATGGGATATTAATGGGATTTACCCAACCTGGTTATGTCAACAGTTTGCTATTGAAGCCATGACCCAGTCGAAAGAGTGGATTTTCCCATGAAAAATGGTGGATCTTTCAATAGCTATTTTGACATAACCAGAGGGTACTTTTCTGTTTTGATGGTTTCATTGAAAATGGTGGTTTCAGCAAGAAAATTTCCGAAAAATTGGTGTTTCATGCTCAGCATAAGAAACCAATTGGATGGGTAATGCAGAGATCTTGGGTGTGGAGCTACAAGTGTGATCTGGTTGGTGGTTTGGAACATGTTTTATTTTTCCCATCATATTGGGAATGTCATCATCCCAACTGACTTTCACTCCATCATTTTTCAGAGGGGCAGGCTCAACCACCAACCAGACATTGTTTCAACCAGGAAATGATAAGCCCCGGAATGGACGTGACACGTTTGCAACAAACAGTTGCTTGAGTTGGTTGATGGGATTCACAGGGTTTCAGCTCCAGCAACTGCCCTTTATTTAAACCTACAAAAAGCTATTGAAGCCATGGCCCATTTAGTTCATTGATTTAGCCACTAATAGCATGGTGATTTTCCAGTTCGTTTTCTGTATGTTTACCAGGCCGGGTACCTTTTTTCTGAATCGATTCAGGAGCATTTTTCTGTCTCAGAAAGACTCCCCAAAGTATCCTCTGGTCAACTAACATAGCTATTGAAAATGGCCCAGTCGAAATAGTAGATTTTCCCATTAAAAATGGTGATTTTCCATGGTTTTTTGTATGTTTACCGGAGGGTATGGCCAAAGACTTCTCCGTTGTTTCCGACCTCCCTTTACGAAACCGGTGGGAGTTCCTGAGACTTCATGCCAACCGATGGGACGAGCATCCGATGTTGATTACCACAGCAGATTGTTGAATCAAAAATATGGATACCCTCTGGTAAACTAACATGGCAATGGAAAATGGCCATTTATAGTGGATTTTCCCATTGAAAATGGTGATTTTCCATTGCTATGTTAGTTCACCAGAGGGTAAGTCACCCTTATGGATTATCTGATTAGCATCCAAAAAATATTTGGATAAGTCATGATAAGTCAACATAATATGGATGAGCATATCCCAAAAATATTAGGATAAGTCGGATAAGTCTCCCTGATGTGTAGCCAAAGGTGTTGATTCAACTTATGTAGCTGTCAGCCGCTGCCACTGAGTTGCACGACCATAGGCTAGGACGAGTCAAAACCAAGTCTCTGCGCTAGGATGAAAGCCATGGTCAAAGTCAAGGAAGAAATACTCAAATGGTAATGTTTCGTAAACCCTCTAAAGTCCATAAACATTCACATAAACATTCATTAACAGCCATAAACAGCCATGAACCATAGTAATCATATGCAATTAATCATAGTCTAGAATATACCAGTGGGTGTGGAAACTGCCAGACATCCCAGACATCCAGGTGGGACAAGCCATCAATGACACCGCCATGCGACCATGCCACTGGGACCACGAAGAATGGAGCAAAAGCGACCCTCCAGTAAATTTACATAGCTATGGAAAATCACCCTTTTATATAGGTAGATCAACTATGAAACTGGCTATTTTCAATAGCTTTTTGTATGATTACCGGAGGGCACCAAAAATGGGAAGATAATAATATCTAATAATAAGATATAATAAGATGTAATTTTATTGACCAAAAAATAATCAAACATGTGTAATGATTATATTATTGCATAGTATTACCAACAATGACCCCAAAAATGAATAATATGCAATAATACTGTAATAATACATTATTTATATACTGGTTGGTGGTTTGCAACATGTTTTCTTCCCATATATTGGGCATAATAGTCCCAACTGACTTTCATATGTTTCAGAGGGGTAGGTATACCACCAACCAGTATAAGCATATATTCAATGGATTGGTTTAAGGGAAAATCTACAGGAAACCATAGATATTCCCATGAAATATGGGGGGTTCCTGTAATTTTTTTTTTAAACCAATCCATTGACATATAATTTGCTTGAATCTAATGTAGAGAAAAAGATTAATCTGGAAGATATGGAAACTTCAGCACGGTTTACATGTAATAATTATACAATGCGAGGCCCCCCAGTGATGTTTGTTGGTTAACAAAAGCCCCAGTAACTATAGTTATAAATACTGTACCATAAACCATAGTTATTGGACTTATAAACCAACTTAGCTATCTTGGGGGCCTCACATTGTACGTGATAATACGTGACATAATCCACCAGAAATGGGATGTAATCGGGAGTCTACTTTTTTTTTACATAGCCTCCAAGACTGCAAACCCAAGACATGAGTATAGAACCTTTAAAATGAACAAACATAGGGGGCATAGTCCAGATTATTTCCAGACTGCATGATTTTTTGAACATGTCGTTCACATCCTCCGCGAGCATTACTGATTATCCCACTTGGCGGAGAAAAGCCGAAGATAATGACTCCAGTCCAGTGGTTGCCCGCAAGTGAATTGGTCCATCTTCAACTTCTCATGCTGGGTGGTGATACATTCTGCTAGCCAATATAGCAATGGCCATCTCAGGAACCTCAATTGGAGGTACCTACCATATGTAAGGCCTATTTTTCAGGCCTTAATTTCAGGGAATATCCGGCAAAATATGGCCTGAAATATGGTACTAACATACCTCCATCAATTGGATCCTGAAGATCTCCCATTGATTTTGTCGCAATGCTGGCTTCCCAGTATTCTTGCGGAGATCTGGGTCGAAAATTTGGTCGAAAATTTGGATTCGAGATACTCAAAGTGATGAGAGTGCCATCTGAATGTGTAGTGTACTTGGTGGCGAACTACCCACGAATCGTAAGTGGGTTAGTTCACCCCAGTTATAAATGGGATAAGTAGGGTTAATCCACTTATAACTGGGGTTATAACCCACTTACTAAGTGGGATGAGCCACCAAGTAGTCCTTTGAGCCTTAAATTAAAACCAGTCTTCAAATGTCTACATCATTTTGTCATTCATTTTGTCTATGGTTACTGGTTGGAACTCCACTCCTTTCTGGCCAAACGAACCATCATCCCTCTTAGTATGCGGTTCAGTGGATTATCCCATTTCTAACTTGGTGAACTAGCCCCAGTTACCAACCACTTCCTCGGCTCAATCCTGGACGAAATTCCAATAAACCAGCATTTCCCTTGGTTCTCCCAATGAAATCCTATAGTCATAAACCATATGGTATGATAGTCCTTATTGTCCTCATACCTATAGATATTTCCCATCATAAACCATAGATATCATAGATATATGATGGCCATGAAAAAATCCCAGTGAATTCCACACCTTTTTTCTGCGGTGCGCAGGGTTGCGAACTCCCAGACGTTGGCTGAGGCGTTGCCTGCGGCCAGCCGTACGTGCGTGCGGGGATGATGACATGTACGGAATGCAGCTTGTTTGTGGTGAACCTTGGTGGAGGGTAAACCGGTTTTTTTTTGTATGTTTTGGGGGTACCCGGCCTGGTCAACATACAAAAAGCTATGGAAAGATCCACCATTTTTAATGGGAAAATCCACTATTTCTATGGCCATTTTCAATAGCGAACTGTTAAATTACCAGAGGGTATCAATTTGAATGGATTAGGCACAATTACTTGAAATGGATAGAAAGTACAGATTCAAAGCCTGCTAAAAGGGGTTAAACAGATGGGTCCAGAAATGGCGTGTATAAATGATTATAAAGCCAGTACCCAGCTGGAAATTATATCATGTGCCGGGGGGTATCTAAGATTTGACATTCAAACACTCAAGACTCCCCAAATTGCATCAAATTGCATGGTTCGGTAGCTTGGATGAACAATCCATGGCAATTACCCTCTGGTAATTTGTTACAGTTTGCTATTGAAAATGACCCAGTCGATATAGTGGATTTACCCATTGATAGCATGGTGATTTTCCATAGTTATGTAAACGTCTACCGGAGGGTATGAGAGCTGGAAGGTGCTGAGAAAAGTCTTCAGAGATTCCACCAACATATCTGCCATGCGGCCTCCCTATTGATGGACTGATACATCAGTACAATTAACACCAAGATTCATCACACATTGGTGAAGCATGGTGAACCTGTAGCTATTTGAAGCCAAGTCGATAGCTTGGAGATGTTGTTTCTTGGAGATAGCCTCTGGTAAACATACAAAAAGCTATTGAAAATGGACCATTTATAGGTGATTTACCTATTCAAATAGTGATTTTCCAGTTCGCTTTTTGTATGTTTACCAGGCCGGGTAGCTGAAAAAGCGCCTGGTGATATCGTAATTTGCGCCACCTAAAGGAAGCACTCGAAGATGGGCCAATGTCTGCTCCGCGGTTTCAACCAAGGTCATCAGCTGGCGTGTCTCTCGGATGAGAGTTTCCACTGGAAACCAACTGGATTTTATAACCATCCAACCGATGGTGTTTAGCATCAAAATCCTGAAGGTTATGGTGAGATATGGTGAGATAAATGATGGTTCATGGCTTATGAACATTTATGAACTACTTGTAGGGGGTGTAGGGCTGTTGTACTTGCTGTAGTGTGGGCAACCCAATGCCAGAAACAACTACCATGACTGGGACGCTTGAACTCCCAGCCATACAAATGGTGATTTGATGTGATTTGGGGATTGCGTATTACTGCATTACTAAAATATGATCGGAACCAATTATTTTACCGGGGGATATAGCTAGTTGTAACCAATATAGCTGGTTTAGATTCTGACTTCAGTAATCCTGGGGAATTACAAGGATTACAGAAGGGTCTTCCAAGATCGATAGGTTTCTGTTGGCTTATAGCTGGGCCAATGGATTTATGGTGGGGAAAAATTCCACAGTTGGATGGATAATTTGATAGACCTGTTTTTGGAAGCCAAAAATCTTGCGAGGGACGCCACTGAAAAAGAGCTGCGACATTTTTTTTTTGTGATTATGATGTACATGATGGTGCCCCCCAGTGATGTTTGTTGGTTTATAAACCCCATGAACTAGTTCGTTATATCTGCCACAAACCATAGTTATGAGAGTTATTGGCACCAACTTAGCTAACCAAAGCGTGATTCCATGGCGTTGTTCAGTGATTCCATGGTGAGAATTGGATGACAACCATGCTGATTCTCCAATACTGTCCCATGATTCAATTCCTCGAATGTTCCCCATTTAAAAAGGCCATAAATTACAAGGTGGTGCCCCATAGTTAGCTAAGTTGGTTTATAACTCTCATAACTATGGTTTATGGCAGATATAACTATAGTTAATGGGGTTTATAAACCAACTTATAACTGAGGGGCACCATCCTGTAGCCTGTGGTAAACATTTACAGTTTGCGAACTGGAAGCCATGGCCCGTAGAAATAGAATGAAATAGATGGTTTAGCCATTTTCATAGCATGGTGATTTTCCAGTTTGCGAACTGTGAAATTACCAGAGGCTAGCAATGATGTACCAGAGGATGTGGGATGTACCAGATCATTCCTTTAAATTTCCTCATTGTTCTGCTCACTCCCGCCATGAATTTTTGTTAATGTCTATTGGGAATAAGTCTATCATTCTGAATGATAAACCCATCTGCTGTTGGTTGTAACATGTTATATCCAACTGATATCCATGTGAACATTCTATTCTATTCCACAAATCAATGGGAATTTCAGGATCCTAAAATGGAGGTACTGTACCATATAAGGCCATATTTTGTGGGGATATTCCCTTACATAGGCCTTATATTATATAGGCCTTATATATGGTAGGTACCTCCAATCAATCGGTTCCTGAGATGGCCAGTGAATAAAGCTGAAAAATCATCGTAGCACCACAGCATGATTTTTCGTTACCACCAACATGGCCGCTGACATCTCCATGAAGTTTTCAGTTTCCATGTACTCTCTGGTTATGACTAACAGTTTGCCATGGAAAATCACCATTTTTAATAGGTAAACCATATGGGCTTTGCGTGGAGCTTTGGTCCACAGCCTGGTTGTCGCCATGAACCTGGTGCCCATTTTGCACAACAACTTGACGATATCTGTCAGGTGTGAAGTGGGTCTCTGCGGGTTCCTTCTTCTGGACATCTGCAAAATGCTCGCAGATGAGCTCTGTCTTGCAATGCGTCTACCAAGGGGGTCTTGCTTCCTTGCTCCCCAAACCCAAGCAAATTTGCAGGGGGTGGCTTTGAGTGGAATCTTGATTTGCCTCACAAAGGACCCAGAGTTTTCACCATGGCGTTACGGTCACAACCGATTGACGGAGCTTCCCATCGAACAGCATTTCTCGTACTTACGGCAACAATCGCCAAACTCCCAGCTCACATCCAGAAGTTTCTGGCAAGCAGCGTGCAGAGTGTCTCTGAGGAGGGCTATTTCTGTGGGCCATTTTCCATGGCTATGTTAAATTACTAGAGAGTATACATATTATCTCCAAGATTTACATGTTGCATTCACATGTACCTTGACCCTCCAAGTACCCTTGACAAATGGGGTTTTACCCCATGATTTCAGTACTTTTCCACCATTTTTGGGCGGCCATCGGTCGATTCCGGCTCCACAGGTCGAAATTGCTGGGAGGTCGCTTCCTTCCACGGTCCTGCCGCACCGTCGTCTCAGAAGCCTCTTGTTTCGAAGTGGGATCGGATGATCTGGATCAAAGGCTTGGGAGTTTTATCCAAAACGTATGGAAAAACCTTGCAAGATTTGTAAGATCGGCAAAATCATAGGGAACATGATGGGAAAACATGGTGTGCCTGGTTGGTGGTTTCAAACATTTGGATGATTTTCCATAATATATGGGATAATCCTTCCCATTGACTAATATTTTTCAGAGGGGTAGGTCAACCACCAATCAGGTGCATTGCCTTTATCCTGCACCAGATGCTACTCGTTGTCATCTCAACTGGGGATGTCGCATCAGGTGAGATCAAGGAAGGATAAGCCGCCGTGGTTTCCTGGATGAACCGTTCAAAAACCATAGGTATATGGTGGATATAATTAGATTAATTATAGGTATAAAGTGATTTCAAAGTGGATAATTTGGATAATTGATTATAGTGGATGTTTAACCGGGGGTTATCAACATTAGATTAATTCATAGGTATAAAGTGGATAAATAGTAATGACGTCCTTTATAACCAAAACCCGCAGAAATCCTAGGGTGTCAAAAATACGCGAGCTTTTCCGACAAAAATGCGTATGGCTGCTGCTATTAGCCATTACACTATCGGCCGCATTTTGATGGAGGATGTGCAGTCTGCTAGCAGCACAATTGAGAAAGCACATCAACAGATGCAAAAGCTGCCTTGGCTTCCAGCACCTATACTAGCGGAGCTTGATCGTACCAAGAGCCAAGTTGCCGCCCTTCATCGAGAAGTGCACTGCTACCAAGAAACTCTGATACGAGAAGTTGAAGACTCACAGAAGGATCTCCTTGTTCATCCTTGCTCCCAACGCAGCGACAGCATCTCACCAGAAGAGAAGACTGAGCCTCAGTCCAACCCCAATATGGAATGGTAGGACTGTGTGTCATCGTGAGCGTTACCTGCTGATGCCGACCAAATTATATGGCTGGTAGGGTTTTTTGTCTTCTGGTAATGTGATTTGTGTCACAGGGACCTCCCTTGGACCAGATTGATATCCGTGTCAAATGATCATACTTGGCATGCTTCTGAAAGTACGGGTTAGGTAAGGGTTTGGTACGGGTTAGTACAGGTTAAGTACGGGTAAAGTACGGGTTAAGTACGGGTTAGGTACGGTTCAAAATCAATACCCGAGGTCTTCAATCGAAAGCCCGGGTTTTCTTATTTTTTCCGAAATACCTCAGGTTCTTGTGCTGACCCGAGGAATTCTCAGGGTTTTGGTTTTCCAGGTTGGTGTATAGCTTGAATTTCTGGTAAACTTGACACAGCTGAAAACACAAGATCCCCTGGCTGTCTAAAAATTTATCCTCTGGTTAACCAACATAGCTTGGAGTTTCACCATGTTACCATGTTTAATTAGTAGGTAAATCAACGAAGTACCCTCTGGTAAACTAACATAGCTATTGAACATGGCCATAGAAATAGTGGATTTACCCATTGAAAATGGTGATTTTCCATAGTTGTTTGATTGTTTGTATGTTTACCAGAGGGTAAATGGCCATGTTCAATAGCAAGCGGCAACAAATCACCGGCCGAAAATAGGCTGAAATCTTCGGTTGAACCGAGGGGCCTCGTTGGAGCAAGGATTCTTTGCAAGGGATGTATGCCTTTGGTGAGGAAGAGGACCACCGGGACCACCGGACCGGCGGTGGATAGGGATCGTTGTTTTTTTTTTTAATGGGCAGAGTTACCCTCTGGTAATTTAACATAGCTATGGAAAGATCCACCATTTTTAATGGGAAAATCCACTATTTCTGTGGCTATTTTCAATAGCTACGTTAAATTACCAGAGGGTAAAATGTGGGAATTCAATATGGCTAGAAAATCCCTGAACTCAATGGAGGCTTAGTTCGCTGAGAAAATCATCGAAGCAAGTAGAAAAGTTTTGTCAGTTCAATGCCCAGCAGGTAGATGGGCAGATTTCACAGACAAGGAATGATCAACGGGATAGATATAATATGTATGTATATATATATATAATGGGATGTGTATTGAATTGTTATTCCAGTGTCAAAGATACCGATAATCATACTTTTTCACGTGCGAACAATGATAAATCTGATTTGTGTTGATAGTCTGGTTCAACAAAAACAGTACCTTAGGGGAAAGGTGATGATAATTCATTTCAATGGCCATTTCAGGATCCTAGATTGGAGGTACCTACCATATATAAGGCCTATGTAAGGCCTATGTAAGGGAATATCCCCACAAAATATGGCCTTATATGGTACAGTACCTCCATTTTAGGATACTGGAATTCCCATTGATCACTGGAATTGTATATATACATATACATAATTACCTACAGCATATGTTTCTGCTTGATTCTTTCAAATATGTTTAATGTTCCACCAAATGACTGGGATGGTGATTCCCAATGACGAGCATATTTCTCAGCTGGGTTGAAACCAAGTTACTCTTCAATAAATATTAAATGTTGCCAAAACGATATGGAAAACCTACTGGAAATGCAGATCATGTTCCTAATCCGGAAAGCCATGGATGTTCATATATCATCATATATCTATGTTACTTTGCGGTCAGATAAGCAAAAGGTGATGGATTACATGAAAAATGGTGAGACATCGAAGATGGACCCTACCTACACCCCATCCACTTGCTCTATCTTTAGCAAGTCACCAATGGAAGTAGATGGGTTGATCTGAAGTAGACACGACACCCCATGGGTGCCCAAAATTCCCATATCATCATATGTTTCGTAGAAGAAGATGCAAATTTAATATCCACATAAAGTGGATCTTTATGGGCATCCCACATTTTGATACACATCCACATCATATTGTTGGTTATATTCGGTTTAATAATTATATATCTCATTATATCCTATGTTTCCCCGTTTTTTTTGCATGTCATGGCTGCTGCGTCTTCCCCCTATTGTTGGTTGCTCAAGTATCTTTTTTATCGCTGGTTTCATCCAATTCGCTGCGTAGCTTGCAGCTTGAATTTACCATGGAAAAAATGGATTAATGATGAAATCCCCATCTAAACTTAATCTGGGTAAATTATAACGACCTCACTGCGACCTCACTGGAATCATGGTCAATAAGGGGAATCATCCCCAAATGGCCTTAATTCAGGTTAGTGAAATATTATGTTTTACCCAGATTAATGGTTGGATGAAGTTTCCAAATTATATAATGGTTGCAAATTAATTTGTGTTGCTTAAATGATGGCCAGCTTAAATCCTATCTGATGGAAATCACCATTTTAAGGGTGGAATCCGGTCGCTGGTGACATCGCACAGATACTCCGACGAAAATGTGCAGCTCCGCTTGACACGTACGGAGGTGTGGCAGCGAAATTCCAAGGATTATGGGTGGATTATGATGGTTAGTGACAACAATTTTCCACGTGGGTTATGAACTAAAAAATTGGTGATATATTTACTGGGTCAATCGACTGGATGGATACAAACTAATCCTAACTAGTCTTTTGGTATCAATGGGAATAGCTGCGTTCACCAGCAAAGAATTTGTCATTTTTTGCACGGTATCTAAGATTGGCAACGTTGTCAGTCCCTGAAAATTGTGAGTTTTTGTTTGGGTGGATAATGCTACCCTCTGGTAAACGTTTACAAAAAACGAACTGGAAAATCACCATCTTCAATGGGGAAATCCACTATTTCGACTGGGCCATTTTCAATAGCTATGTTAGTTTACCGGAGGGTAAAATTGTTTGGAGTAGTAACCACTCAAAATTCAGCCAACTTAGCAGGGGAGCTGGGGACCAAAATGAAATGACATGGACATGGGCAGGTAGAATGGTGACTTCCACGAAATGTGCTTTGCATAAATAGTGATAGAGACGTGTCTTGGATAGTCGTATTTTGACCCGCAATACCAACAAAAATGTGTGTTCTTTCCCATCATGAATTGGGAGCTCAATACTATACTCAATACCATGAAATTCTTGCATCAAATTCTTGTGCGATGTCCATGTGCAGTAGCCTGCACAAAACGTAGCAACCGGATGCCACTGCGGCCGCTGCCACCACACCGTCGTCCTGCAGCACATATAGGGCGACGTCTCCAGGTGCCCATGGTGGTTTCAAGCATTCTGAGACTGCTGAGATGGCTGAGATGTTCCATGTTGGACCTGACTTATGGCGAGGTTGTTGTGGGGGTCGTAGCGAATATTCCTTCTGATTGCTGTGGGGGTTAAGACTGTTCTGATTAAGGTTTGTGTAGAAACCTGCAATCCCCCAAAATCCCCGCGGAAGTGGGGAATGATGATACCCTCCGGTAATCAAGCATTGCGATCGGAAATCCCCTATAAGTGGAGGTTTGAATGGAAAAATCGCCTAGAGATGGTGGATTTTCATTGCCCACCTTGGATTACCCAAGGGTAAACCATGGGATTGGGGAGGTCCTAATGTTGATAAAATCCCAATGTTTTACTTGGGCAAATCACCCAATAGCAGTCATTTGCTTAATCATCTGACTTTCTCTGAAAATGATCCGGCTTGTTTCCCCAAGTCATATTACCCTTCAGTAAACTAACATAGCTATGGACCATCCCCATTTATAGGTGATTTAGTTATTAAACATGGAAATTGTATGAAATTGTCCATAGCTATGTTAGCTTACCAATGGGTACGAGTGCCGCTGCAAAAAACCAGAAAATTTGGGCCGTTTCCCAACTCCGAAGGACTGGTTTGACGGTTTGACCAACTCCCCTGCAGGCTTTCTTGATGAGTCAACTGGAACCTTTTACTTATGATCCTGAGACTCTTGGCTACAGCTGGCTCCCTGGGTCATCCTGGGTCATCAAACATTGGGATTTCATGATTGGGATTTGGGAAGGAAAATGGGTGCTTTACTGGGAAGCATCTTGCTGTGTAGATCACAAAAAAAGGAGGCTCATCCCACCATGAGTTGTGGTTACTCAACACGAAGAGCACGCACGAATCCATCCAATTCATTTGGGTTAAATGCACATTCGATCCCAATTCTTTTTGGTTAAATCCGCATGAGATCTCCTTTTGTTTGCTTATGTTTGGCTAAATCGCCATTAAACCTCAGTTTCTTTTGGTTCAATCACCAGGTTTATGTAAAAATAATTGTACTTTACACCATGAAATCTCTAAATCGGACATAAGACCGAGCCGTTTCTGGGACGCTTTCTTTTTTTCACACGTCTCCACGTCTCCAGGAGCAAGTTAGAGCAGACCCTTCGGCTGAGCGGGCACGTGATGCAAGGCATACTGGAGATGATGGACAGTGAAACCACATCTGAAAGGGGGGCCCAACAGAAAACCAGAAGACCAGCCAAAATGATCGTGAAGGATGTTGAAGGGATCAAATATGTGGTTTTGATTTCCGATGCAGGGATGCAACTGGTTTGGAAACCTGAAAACGGGTAGACAACCAACAAAAACACACAGATTAAAACAAGATAAAGATAAAGACCAAAAGTCAACAAAGCACGAGAAAAAATCACGCGAAACATGGGTAGGGAAAGGTGAAGAACTAGCAAGAAATGGGCTTTTCAGCCAGTTAAGAGTCTGCACTAACAGGCGTGGCATTCAGCAGGTGTTGGTCGCTGCTGTTTCTGGGGAACTCCCCCGCAGGATTTGACCCACATGTTTGACCCACGATGGAGAGAGCAAGACCAGCAATAGGAATATGAATTCCCGAGGATTAGTGGCTTCGACTCCATTCTGTACACAAGTATAATACAATTTACTCTCTGGTAAACTAACATACTGGTAACAATGGAAAATCACCATTTTTAATGAGTTAATCAATTATAAATGGCCATTTTCAATAGTTTTTTGTATGTTTACCAGAGGGTAATACATCGTAAATACATTACCAAGGATTAGCTATCAGTGGGAACATTACCCGGTGCAGGTAATGACTCTGGTTGGAATTTTGGAACTACTGTGGAAGTTGCATGGGAAATCTAAGATCAAAATTCCCACGGTTGGTGAACCGGCTTTTTCCCTGACACTTCCGCTGTAAACAAACATCGACCAAGGTTACGAGAAGATATGTATTTGCCCAAAATGTTGAGAGATTCCCCAGTAAACCAACATAGAAAGTGAAAAATCCACAATTTGTAAGGCATTTCCTCCCGAAAACCATGGTTCTTTGTATGTTCACTGGATATTGGCACAAGCACAAAAATCTAGATGAAATCCAAATCGCTTCCGACGAAGGCTTGAAGAAGTTTTCCAGCTTCATACCATTCTCCCAAGCCGCCTGATGGCAAGATGACCGGAAAACCCACTGGGTACAGGGGCTTAGAGGTGCTCTGTTCAAAGATGGAAGTCATCCATAATGGAAATCCTGGTCCATACTGGGTCCATGAATCCCTGGCCATGAATTGATCCACCAATAATGACGGGATATTATGGCTATATATCTTCCAACTGTTGAGCATGGCACGTATACTTTCATACAAACTAACATTTTCTTACATTTGATACCCTCTGGTAAACTAACATAACTATGGAAAATCACTGTTTTTCATGGGAAAATCAACTATTTCTATGGCCATTTTCAATAGCGAACTGTTAAATTACCAGAGGGTACTTGGAGGAATATAGTTCCCGCTGAAAAAACAAGTATTTGCAGGGCCTCCAAGATTTGTCGTGACAGCGACTCAATTGCTGGAAAGAAAGCTTCGCCTGG